CATACATAGAAGAATGCTTTTGTGCTATGCACCTCAAGATGGCCTCTGTACAACCCTGTAGACTTTGTACAATCACTGTTTGGGGGGGGGGGGCTGTCCTTTGTGGTATGCAAGTGGGATCTTAGAGTCTCCGGCCAGCGGAAAAACATCAGAAATCTGTCATGCCTGGCATACTTGGACCCAATAAGGTGCTAGCAAACATGATCAGCGGGGTTCCAAATTCTAGCGTCTTTGACGCTTCCATCATTGAATGATTGGTCATCAAGGATTCCACAGGGCCTTGCTGACATCCCTACTTTACCACCAAATAGAACCCTCACTAAGTTGACCAACATGGGTTTCAGGTGCTGCTCACAGAAGCCCGGTCCTCAATTCAGAGGAGCCGATTTGAACCTTGTTGAGCGGATTGTTTTCTTGCGCAAATTGCTTTTCCTTCAAGACTGCCAAGTCAACCCACCAAAACAAAGCGGTTGAAACCGTATCCTTTGCCCTCGAGAAGGCGCTGCACCTAGGCACATCAATAGAGCTTCTCCTCGTGCTCACCAGTAAAACGTGTTCACCACAGCATTGGTCTCCGTTGCTGGACCCCAACACAGATTCCCTGGATCGCAGTCCTCAGGATGTCGAAGAATTTGGAGCTCAGGATCTTGTTGAGGACCATCACAAAGCAGGCCTCCTCGATTCCTCCAAGCTTCAGAAGCTCAACCCTGCCTTAAGGCACCCACTGACGGGCACAGGTTCCCTTGAAGTCCGGGCCCCAAAAGCTGCGCATTGGATTCGGCGAAATCCGTGGGATATGCTATATGCTTAAAACAAACGCTACACCACAAACGCGCGTCATGTGCGATCGCGATCGATGCCCCCTTTCTCCTAGCCCCGCCTCGGCCAAACTGCCATCGCAGCACCACTGCATGGTTTGGGTCGTCCTTCGCAGATGCAGTGAAAGGACTGCAAAGCAATCAGTGGATTGGCCTGAAAAAGTCCAAACTGCTCTTTTCCACTGAAATAGTATTCCAAAAAAGCGTCATTTCCTGAGACTTGGAGGCGACTAGCCTGCTGTGGGTTGCCGTCAGACAAAAATGGAAGTAATGCTGTTCATCTTCCCCTGGCCCTTCTTTTCTGATCCACGAACCAAAGGCAAAACACTTGGGGCTGGGAGCCTTGCTCTAATTTGGTCAGCTCAGGCGCTGATCAGAACAGCCCATGATTTGGGTGTGCCGTTGGCTTTGGTGCCCCTGTTCGGATGGCTTTAAACTCGGATGCCCACTGGCCATGGGAAGAAAAAGGCACCTTCTTTTGGTTGGTTGACTTTTAATGGGAACCCTTCCCCAAAAAAAGGAAAGGTAAAAAAGAGGAAAAGGAAGCAACTGGGCCCACTGGAAGTTTAAGGAAACCCAGGCCCCCGTTGGAGACGGCTCGGCTCGAGGCGCGCCTTGTCGGTGCTCTCGAGGCTCCACAGCGTGGCACCCGGAAGCAGCTCCGCCTCCTGAGAACCGGGGGCCACTCGCGGTGTTTCGATGTCACCCACTCGAAGTCCTAGATGGGTGTAGGTCAAACATAGGTACCCCAAATGGAATCCTGGCAGATGGAAACATGGACTAAAACCTGCGGTGCCCTGGTGGTTTAACTTTGACCCATCCCCACAGCCACATAGGGACCATTCTGAATCGCTATAGATATCAGAGAGGCGGCCATCGCAGGTGGCACGCAACTTGCGGCGCAATCGATTCTGGCGTCGAAAGTCGGGGTGTCTCCTTAGGGTGAGAAAGGGAAAACCACAACAAGGAAACCATTTCAAAAAGTGCCATCAGGGCAAACCCTATGTTTTGGTGGAAACCCTGACAAAGTTGCCCCAGCACCGACACCGGAATAACATGACCCATGACCCCGGCCTCGAACGCTGGCAGCTCCTTCAAGGGGCCTCAGAAGTCGCTGGCTCCACTCCGACAGGTGAAGTGCAACGGGGTCAAACCAAACCAAACAACTTGGTATGAACTTGCTTTGCGAAACTGGCCAAGTGTTGTTTCCGAACTTCGGTGTAGCCTTAACTCCTTGTTCACCTCGAATGCGCCTGGCGAGACCTTGGCAAAAAGCTCCAAGGAGTAAATTAGCATCAGCAATTCGTCTATGCATCGTCCAGCTTTCTCCACAAAGCCCAATGGGTTCTCAAAACCAGGGACCCTTGAAATGGTTGAAATATTGGACCTCTTTCAAAACTGCGCCCAAAAGGGCCCCCGTTGTACGCACAGCCGCCAAACCAAGACCTTCACACCTCTCAGATCCCGGCACTTCAGACCCAAGGTGTCCTCAAGCGAGAAAATTGGCAATCGCTTCACCAGCTCGACACAGTCTTGACACCGGAAATGTTCCTTGTCCCCCAACACAGGAAGGACCCGTCCAAGACCGCCTCCCAAGTCAGCAAAATGGAGCGTCAATGGCAGCTGCAAGTGGCGGTGCTGGAAGAAACGCAGAAAGCTGTGGCCGCGGAAAGACTACAGCGAGACCACCGGAAGGTTCTGTTCCGGAAGACCAAGGGGGGAGTGTTGGAAGCCTCCGGGAAGATGACTGCAAGGCTTCGGGTACACGGGAGCACCAAAGCGGTTACAGGACAACACAAAAACAATGCAAAGGCCATTGTCTAAAGGATGGCCGGGTGGAGTCTGCCTGGAGTCTTTTGTCGCCTGGCAGGTTGCAGGCAAAGACATGATATTCGGGCCAACCTGGGCCAGAGTCTTTCTGTAGCCTTTCCTTCGCAGGGTCCTTACCTTCCTAGTGGTCTTCCCCAAGTACGCCCGTAGCCGTGAAGTAGCAGTAAAAGTAGTAGTAGTAAATAAAGTAGGGTCAAAGAAGCAGTAGCAAAAGGAGTAGTACCGCACATTCCCAACCTCCAACCCTCAGCGGTGAAGATCCACTTCAAGCTACTGTACAGCTTGGTTTGGAAATTAGCCCGAGCCCTTTACCCTAGAGGACTTCCCCCTACAATCATCAGTCACACCCCAAGCGAAGCCTTGAGGGAAACAATCAAAACAATGGATCAGCACAAATATGGCCGACCGAGCACGAGCAGCGCTTTTTACACCCCTGCACTCCTCCAACTCTTGCACCAACTTCTGGGCATCTTCCGGCGTCTGGTTGCCCATGACCAATGCCTGGAACTCCGGCCAAAAAAAAAACGTCGCGCGCCAAACGAATCAACTGCAACCCTACCCAACCCTGAGCTTAAGCGAAGGTCTCAATCCTCCGTAGGAGGAAAGCATTTTTCTGGAAATGCTGGAACATGCCGCAGTCCGTATGCCCTTTGCGTAGTTCCTGAATGTCAACTGCCAAATCTGAAGCAAATGCTTTTCCACATATGCGAACTGCACCTGAAAGGCACCAGACGACATCGGAGTCGGCCTCGCCGTGGCAACTGCTGAAGATCTCTGACACAATGTTGCGGATGCCCTCGCAAGGAGATCGTTGAAACAAGTGCTGGGTGGAGGGTAGGTAGGCTTGTTCGCTCGCAAGGCCTTCGCAAAATCTCCGAGTCCCAAAGCCCTGCCAGCAACAGTGCCGGGTACACTGTTCATGTAGCGGGAAAACATCAAAAGAAATGGTACATTGTCCGAGTGGGGAATTCATCATTCAAAGGCATGCACGGACGAGTGCGCCTTGGTGTGGTGTGTTGGTGCGTGAGTGTGCTTGCTGTTGTGCTGCTGTGTTGGTGCGCAGCTGGGTTCGCGTGGTAGTGTCCTGGTGCATTGGTTTGCTGGTCTGCTGTCACTTTGCCGTAGTGTTTTCGAGCATTAATGCATTGGTGTGCTCGTGTGTTGGTGCGCTAGTGACCTCGTGGGCTTGTGTGTTTATGCGTTGGTGTCGTGGTGCGTTGTGCGAGGCAAAACCAGAAGTTGATTCCACATTCTCAGTTGCTCCCATTGCCCCAGAATTGTTCATGGGTGCAGTAAACCTGATTTGCCCCTTCTAGCTGGACAAGCAAAGGCTCCCTCAATTGTCTTTAGGACAAATCCCGTGATTTTGTGCCGTGTCCAATGATTTGTTTCCGCAGTGCCAGAGTCTAGGAGTGCAAGAAGGTGCAACGCGGGAGCGGGGCATTCTTAGTGGTCTAGTTTCAAAGTGCCATGTCAAGCCCTAATTTAACTTGGACCTAACCCTGACACGCTTTGGAAACCCATGGCACTGGCTCAACTGGCGATTTAGCCAGGATATGGCCCTCCCTGCGACGACTTGTTGCCCGCAGCCTCGCGTGAAAGGGACTCAAAGTTTTCGAGCAACTCCTGGCAAGAGCGGGCGGCAGGAGCTTCACCAAAGCTTACTCTTTGGCCCACAAGGGTCTTTCCCGGACCGAAGCTATTACTTTTGGCGTCATTCCTCTTAAACCTTTGTACCTACATGTGCACAAAACCCCGACCCAATCCCATGGACACTTCAAACTTAAGATCGCTTAAAGGGGTCGGTTCTCTTTTGGCCTTCCCCTCTTCCGTTTGCTTACGGTGCCACTAAGAAGGCATGGCGTCCCCTTCAAAACAAGCTGGGCAAAATACGTCTGAGCAAATCTTGGTTGACGTTGGAAGGGGAGCAAAAATTCAAATGTTGGCAGTTCCGTGGGGATTTCAACCACTAAACCACAATAAGCAAAAATGAAAAAAATGGTTCCCAACAACAACCATGAAATGGAAGCCTTAACAGCCACCTGAGGATGGAGCCGGGAAATGAAATCTTCCCAGGCCGGGGCTTTGATGGACCCCCTACCCCCGCCGGCTCGCTCGCTGCAACTGGCGGAACTTTTTGAACCTCCGCCAAAGTGTGCCCATCCCCAGAGCGGAGAGCAGCAGCCGGGAAAAGGGGCTCCAAGGCAGATTCCGGGCTTCGACGACCCCCCCCCCTTCCTCTTCGCAGTTGACCCCTCAAGTTCGATCTGCCAAGAAACCGGCGGCCCTTCCAAAGCCTTGGGCGCCCGCCCGCGCCGCACTCGCGCCGATTCGATGTCCCGATCTCGCGGCTCAGAGGCCCAGGGAGCCGCTGTTCAGGGCCCCGGCGGTGGAGTCCAGGTCCCAGGAGCCCTGGGGGCCCGCCCAGCCCTCCGGGAAGAGCGGGAAGAGCGGGCCCTTCACCACCTGGCGAGGGAGCAGGGGCATGGGAATTTCAGCTGTTGAGCTGCCAGTTGAAGGGGTCCAACTCCTGGTTTTGGCAGGCTCAAAGGCAAACCGAAGAGGCACATGGTCCAAAGTCTTCAGGCTCTTCCCCACCGAATTGATCAAAGCAACGTGACATGGTTTGACAGATTCGCATGTCCAACTTCGGTAAGGGGGATGGACATCCGCCATTCTGGCTCGTGAGACCCAACACCTGTGTCTTTGTTGGGAGAGAGAAGCCTGAGCCCGGCATGTCCGTGCGGCAATTGCCCTCATGTCTGTTGCAGCTCATCTCGGTGTCCAAATCGGCCGACAGGGCTAGGTTTTGAATAGGCGCCTGCAGAGTCTCAGGCATGAGCAGTGCCCGACCTACATTCTACAAATGGCTGTGGGTCAAAAATAGGTACCCAACATGGCTTGCCCTGGTAAATGGAACCATGGACCAAAACCTGCGGTCCAATTCCTGGTGGTTTAATTCTGACCCATACCCCGGCTCTTGAGCGCCGAAACGCGCCAGGGAGGCCAAGTTGTGATGCACCATACCAGAGAAGGCCAGCATTGCCAGGCGTCCGTTCGACAGCTCCTCCCAAAATACTCGCCGGCGCGTCCCTTGCATTGGCTAGCTTGGGGGGGAAAAGGGATTAAGGCCTGCGCGCCATTGCCAAGAAACTTGACACGGCCTCCTTCGCTCATATAGAAGCGAGTGTCGGACAAGACACACCAAATGCTTGTTGGGAAGCCCCAAGCACTGCTTACAGGAAGGAGGATTCCAATATTGCAGCCAAAAGGCGCAGAACGGCTCAAGTATCAAAAGCAGTTGTTCTTCTTAAGCGATGTCTCCAAGTATTGTCCGCAGAAGTTGACCCACCAAGAGGAAGATGCACCAAAATGATGGTGGCTATGCTTCCATGGTCCATGATAGGTATCCTTTCCTGGTTTCTTCAGAGCATTTGACATCAAGCCCGTCAGCGCCCAAACAAGTGGGTATGGGTCAAAATTAAACCACCAGGGCACCGCAGGTTTAGTCCTTGGTTCCATTTACCAGGGCAAGCCATGTTGGGTACCTATTTTTGACCCACAGCCAGCGAGACAAGCGCCAGGCTCAAGCATGAGCCCAGCCCTCCAGCCATCCTTGGTCGCCATCTCATCGGCCGCCGCCTTGTCCGCAGGCAGGAAGCGCTTGCCAAAGTTCAGGTCGCCCGGGGCCCGCGTGGCTCCCTCCCCCTCGAACATGTCCAGCATGGTGAGCTTGCCTTGGCGCATGGGCAGGAAGGGAACATGTGCGCAAAGTAAAGTGCTCTAAGCAGAAAGAGAAAAAACACCACAGACAAACCAAAACAACATGTCTTTGCAGGAGGAAACCTTGAAGAGCAGAAATCATAGGCAGGTGTTCGTCCTACAAGCACCCTTCGATCAGGACAAGCCGAACAAGCAAAACGCAAACGCAAGGATAGCGGGGAGCGTGCCGCTAATTGGGAAAAGCCGCATTCAGGGAAGAGAGTCCTCCAATTAAACTAGAGAGGGTACTGGATCCTTTGCTACAGGAGACTCACCCTTGGCCTCTTTCCCGTCTTACCCGCTCCAGAATGGATACCACCGTTTCCCTTCCCATGTGACGCTCTCCCTCCGCCCCAAAAAAAAACGGTGTGCCCGCCCATGAATTGAGTGGATCGTTCGTATGACGGTTACTTCGCGGGTCCCGGTCCGCGGGTTAAATCTACCTTTTCATTTTGCCATCATCATCAAGCTGCGGCCATCTGTGGCCCACCCCTTCCAACCAACAAGCGCCAGGTGGTGTTCGGTGAAAGGGAAACAACCCTGCTTCTGATGCTGACAACCCTGCCAAACCTCTTCTTCTGCGCCGAAGAAACCCCCGTAGGCAGAGCTCTCGATGTACCCGCAAACCACCAGCAGCAGCGCAGTCATGTTGACGGGCGCCGTCCAAATGGCCTTCAGTGCGTCCTCCAAGGACGGGACATCCAGGCAGACCCAGGCTTGGGTGGCGCGAGGGACTCAGGATGTAGGGTGGTAGCTGGAAATGTTTGGGTCAAGAACTTTGGCGACATGTGGCTGTAGCCATCTTGGATAAGGTTGCCACTAGTGTGGCGCGAGGTCGCAAGCGTCTATGCGATCAGTTGGACAAACCTTGTCGCAGGGCTACTTCCAACAGGCCAAACAGAAAACATCAGCCACTCCCAACAAAACCGACAGGACTCCCTTTCTTGGAACCGGCTCTCTCTCCAAAAAGGCCGCGCCCCGACCCCTGCTTGCGCGACTTCGCGCTTGCCACCCGGCTCGCCGGCTCGGGCTCAAGTCCTCGGAGCCCTCGAAGCCGGGGAACTGGAAGTACTGCTCCACCACGAAGCCC